AACAGAATAAACAACAGGAATATCTCCATGAGCACGAAACACTTCCATTTATTTACATAATCTCGTCTTCGTAGAAAATCATTTAACAGGCGATCAAAGATGGGCATAAAGGGAAGGATCCAATTTAGAAATGCCATTATTCCAGTAATTTCTGATTTTATGCTGGTGTAAAATTAAGATTATTGGCTAGCAAATTTAGAGAAAAACCAGACAGTTCGGTTTAAAGATAAAGTTTTAAAGACTGAAAACAGAAATAGCTTTAATAAATAAAGCAGGCTGTTACTTTGAATACATGAAGACACTTCTAGTGCAGAAAGATTTTAATCCTCGCAAAGGGTCCCGAGCAAACACGTGGCTGTTGGACTATTGGTTCCTCTGGTAAATTTCATTTGATACTTAGGCTTGCTTCTCTCATTTAGAAGAACTTAACCAGGCGAGTAAAAGCTTTCAAATGTAGTTAGATGAAACATAAGGAGATATCGAATAGTATTCAAGATCAAAAGTCCATAAAACCAAACAAAATAGAGGCATAGCTTCACGGACATCCGAATCATAAAAGGTTGGATCAGGTGCAATGGAAGAGTGAGCATCCCCTGTCGACTGGTCACACCCGCCGTGTGCTCCTTGTCATGATCTGGATATAAGGAAAAATCCGTCGTCAATTCAGTGTAAAAATATTGGACTAAAAATTAGTATGGAAAACGTTAGCTAGCTTTTGACTCAATGGTATATTGTATCTGCTGAAAATAAAGATAAAATCTTGGTAGATAAAATAAACAGAAAGGATGCTGTTGACATCACAAACGTATGCGTTATAAGTTGATCATCATAGAACGGTTGAGAGAGATGAAAAACGGTCAAGATTTACAAAATTTCCGTAAAATGTCACCTTGTCAGCCAACAAGCTATTAAATGAAAATTTCGAGGAGCCCAAAGGCAAGTTGTTTACTCAGGACCCCTGTCATTGCAAAGAAACAGTGACCTACCATTCCCCTCTCCTCTCCTTAGGAGCGGAGAAATAATAACTTTTACACAAAGGTAACGGTCGAGAAAAGAATTCATTGGTACGCAATAGCTTACCTTACTTGACTCGATTTTTTTGGAAAATGATTTTTTTTGCAAAGCTCTTGGGTAACATGAGGGTTGGATAGCTTAATTGAATAATGAAAATCTCTTAATGTAAGGAAATGCTTCATAGTTCAACTAAATCTCCAATGGGTTTTTGTTGTCGTTGTTGTCTATTTTCATATTTCTATATTCTCCGGAACTAACGAATGAATTTCAAGCAAACATGGCACGAAATACCCATTGGTGAAAGGAAAACAAGATGAAATTTCTTTTTTATTACTATATACATCTTGTACTTGTACATCCTTTAAAGACAGAGATATTATAAAAATCGTTAGATTAACCTGGGCTAATAATTATTTTTCCCAAAAACACTGGGTCAGACAAGCAGAGGGCACTTGTGCCACTAAACCTATCTAAAAGAACTATTAGCTCAAAGAATTGTGGTCCCCCGCTTCCAATGTCTTTGTGGGTGAGATTCCATTATTTATGGCATATTGTGTCAAATATGAACGTCGTTTCATATGTCATTCAAGAGTTATCACCAAAGTTTTTTTAATTAAATCAAACATGAGGGTGTAGGTGAGAAATCATAAAATGTTTGGAAATATTTTGTCACAGGTAATGAAAATTTCAAATATGAAAGCCATATCTTTTCACAATCAAAATTTAATAGGAAGAAATAACATTTTTGAAAAACGGGTCAAGCCTTAAGGACAAGGTCACGGGTTCATTTAGAAAGGTCTTGTCACAGGTAATATACATTTGAAATGAGATATCTCCTCTTTTAAAAGTTATGACAATGGTTAAAGTTTTTAGAAATAAGTCAATATTAAAGGTCAACGTCACGGTTGTAAAAAATCATAGTGGTTTTAAAAAGGTCTTGAGATAGGTTTTACACATGTTTAATATGTACGCACTATCTCTTTTCATTCATAGGTTTTAGCCGCCAATTAAAAGTAATGTTTGAATTTTTAATAATAGGTCAAACTTCAAGGTTAAAGTCAATTGTTTTAAAATTATACTGTATTTAGAAAGGTTTTGTCATAAGTAATAAACATGTTTGATATGACAGTGCTATCTCTTCTCATTCAAAAGATATGACCAGGGCTAATGTTTTTATGACAGACAGACAGACAAATGCCGAATTATTGCCGAATTAAAATTGTTTAAATCACAGGCATAGGGGATAAGGGTTGCAATTTAGTTTCAATGGAAATGTACATTATTTTTTTAGTTAAAAGGTACTATTTTTTAAGAGTATGATGGTCATTGATAGTAAAATTACTATTTGTATAAATCCCCTTATAATACACTCATAACTGTTGATATCATGATACACAGAAACACATGCAGTTTAATTGGAGTTGCCATATGGGATCATATTTATACATGAAAACAAATAATGCAGTATAGAAGGAATATAAAAAAGTTTTGAGACTATCAAAGCCACGCTTTTATATATAAATAAATTATTCTTAAAGTGTATTTGTTGATACATTTTTATTTTCATATTATCGAACCTGATCTTTTTTATGCAGCAAAATAAAATGGGGAAAAATCTCTTCCAGAACAAGATAACATCTTTAAAGGGGTCATAAAAAGATGAAAGGCAGAAAAAATGCCTTTCATGTTAGCTTGGTGACAAATTGTTTTATACATGTATAGTTTTTGAGTTGAAAGCGATTTTAAATGTAGTCTTAGGTCAAAATCTAAGACATAATTCTGTTATAAAATGTTCTTTGCATTTACCACATTTAAACACAGGTTTTATCAGATTTCAGGTCAAGAATTATCTGTCTACTTGTCATATCCCCTGCTGTCTGTTACGTTTTCATATTTTTGGTGTTTTCTGAAGAAATAGAAATTTTCAGGTTTTGAAGAAAATTTCGCAACTCATGACATCATAATACATGGACTAGAGAGTAAATTACATCATATTTTAATGATATATCACTAAGGTTAAAAAAAATACAGTATATAATTTTTTCAACTAAAACTGGGTATTTTTGATTTTTCAAATATTCAATTGCCCAGAAGAGGCCCAAAGTGCAATGTGTTTCCACAATAGTTGGTCCGTTAGCTGACTATAGGTAATTTTACTTTAACGTAGTATCAAGGTCTTTTGTACTATAATTAATCAAATATTTCACTTTAATGAAGCAAATTATTTTGCTATGGAATCCAGATTGTTATATTCAGGAAAAATGTATCAAAAAGCAAGAACCCCACGTTTGCCAATAATTAAAGGTCAGAAAACAACATTTTCAATGCAATATTTTATAAGCGTTTTCAGATAATATTACTTTTCTAAGCATTGTAATTGAACTGTCTGTCTATCGATGAGAATAATTGTCATGGTTTGGAAAATAAGGTCATAAAAATTGAAATTAAATTCAATCATAGCAAAACACTTTTTCATTTATAATGATAATATATAGATATATTATGTAAAATTTATTTCAAATCATTACATTCTTAGAATTTTTAAGACCATTTGTCTATGAAATAGGATATAAACATGAAATTAAAGAGGACGGAAACAATTATTTTCAAAATTGGCTTTTAATTGTTTTTTTTTCTAAAGGTATATCGTCAAAGCATGACTAAAATGTACATTTAACTGTTTAAGAACATGGAGCAAGTATCCTCTTTACCTTACAAATAGACTTTTTAAAAGAACATTCGTATCTTTTTAACAAATATTTGAAGTTCAATTATTTAAATGTTATTTAATAAACAATATTTTAACAAGATTTAAATGCCACAACTTGATATGAGTTAATGCACAGTTATTCACACCGTGGTAGATTCTTTAGAATACGATGAAATTTCTGTCTGTAAATTACTGTCGTTTCTGCATTCCCTCTGAATATTTCCTTCTTAACAAATTTTCTCACTGGTAGAAAGTCTTGTCAAACATATTTTAAAGTTTGAGACCAATAAGTTTTTTTTTTGTAAAAGAAAGTTAAATCAAGATACTCATTGTTCCTGTCCCAACAACGCATGAATTCGACTATGATTGTGTTTATAGTTACTTTAACCATCTCCATGGCCATGCATTCGACATACTAGTATTTCCACTTGCAAAATGAATAAAATGGAGTTGAACCGTGATACATGTACCAAAGCACGCAAAACAGCAACAGAATGAACAGTACATATATCTGCAAAAACACACAATTCTTCCATGGATTCCTACGATCCTGACCTGGTAAATAATCATCCAGGATCCGATTAATGATCAAATTCAGAGCATTAGATCCACAGGAATATGCCTTAAACGGTGCCTTGTTATAAACACAATAAATGTATCAGGAATTTTCGTCACTTGGAAAGCCAGACAGTAACTTTTTTTCGTTTTAAAAGTTAGAATTCTTTAACTGCAGAGTATTTCTTTCATTTTAAAAGTTATAATTCTTTAACTGCAGAGTATATTTCTTTCGATTTAAAAGTTAAAATTCTTTAACTGCAGAGTATTTCTTTTGATGTAAAAGTTAAATTCTTTAACTGCAGAGTATATCTTTTGTAACGCAATTTAATAGTGTTTTATTTTGTGAATGAACTCTGTTATTAAAAACAAGACAAAATTTTTGTTTTATTTGAACATGATTAACTATTTTGCAAAGTTCACAGGCATTTCTGTAATTAAGGTATAACCGTTAGCATCGTTCTTCTTTGTGTCCATCAAGCTCCGAGCGTAAACAGAAACACTTTACAGCGAACAAGAACATTTAATGAATTAGACTTGTATTGGTGGGGGCTTCATAGATTTGTAGAATAAGTGAATATTAAATGTTTATTTAATGAGTTCATTTTAGTGACGGAACATTTAAGCCGTCGCTCAGGGAAATATATGAAGCTTTTAAGCAAATTATAGCAGATATAAATACGGGGGTTTAAATGATGTTATGCAGCGAACGCATCACCCCATGTGTTTTGAAACTGGACAGAGAATGGCCACAGTTTTGCTACTACTGTCCACTTTGATATGGGCTGTAAACTGTTCGCATCTCTCCAACACGATAGAGGATTACCAGGCATTGACCAACAGATTACTGGCTAACTACTCAAGTAAGATCAGGCCTATCTGGGATCAAGGCCAGAGCCTCCCTATACAAGTCAGTATGTGGGTGGCTAGTATCAATGACGTCAATGATGTCGCTCAGAAGATGGTAACCACGGCATACTTGTACGTCACGTGGACAGACGCCATGTTGACTTGGAATTCCACGGAAACAGGGATTTATTGGATGCAGTTTAATCAGGTTAATTTTTTCTGGTGAAATAAAATTTATATACGAAAAAAGTCTGAATTAAAAATATGATATAGTCTATGTTCTAAATTTTCCACGGTGATGCACTGCTTTTATAAGAATAAAAAGAACTTAATTTGTACTAGTGGTCAAAAACTGAAACCCTAAAGCTTTTGAATTTGATAATGAAATTTACGCGTTCTTTCATCGATTTCCTCTAAATGAGAAATGAGCCCAAACTAATTATACTAGGTAAAAAACTACAGACTAGTTTACATGTACCTGCATAATATTGATTATGAAAAGTACATTTTATGTTCTCTTTCAGAAAGATTTATGGATACCAGACCTGGTGCTGAGTAATGGATTCACGGCCTTCAAACCTCTGGGTGGTGATTTCTATTATCTTTACGTGGGCAGCGATGGATCAGTGTCTTGGTATCCCTACATGGTGTTTGAATCCAAGTGTAAACTCGATGTCTCATTTTATCCTTTTGACTCGCAAACATGTAAAATCCAGTTCAAAAGTTGGAGCTATAGCCAGTGGGAAGTAAATCTAACTATTTCTGATGAGAAGATTGGGTTTTACGATTTTGTGGAAAACACCGTATGGGAAGTGACGTCAACAGATGCAGTAAATGAAGATGCAAACAATGAACCGACAGTTGCATTTATAATTCATCTCCAGAGAAAATCTTTATATTATATCATGAATGTGTTTCTTCCTATAATTTTTCTGGGTATACTCAGTCCCGTGGTATTCATTATCCCAGCTGATGCCGGAGAGAAAATGGGTTACGCCGTCACGATATTTCTGACCTTTGTCGTGTTTCTAACTATTGTAAGTTCGAACCTTCCAGTTAATTCTGACAGTGTTTCGTACATGGCAGTTTACCTCCTCATCAAGCTTATGTTTGGTGCCATGATAATCGTCATAACGTCAATACAATTACGAATCAACCACAGGAAGTCAGAAAGGGAAATTGGGAAAGTGTTCCAGGGTCTAGTTAGGCTGGAGCGTCGTCTGCGATGTGCAGGTCAAAGATCGGGCTCGGGCTGCGCATGCTCAGGACGTGTACAGGGAATAGACCTTCCGGTTATGGCGGACAAAGGAAAGGCAGAGGCCATTGAGGAGGATATAAGCTGGAATGACGTGTCTTCTGCCATTGACTTTTATTCCTTTTGGTTCCTTGTCTTTGCAGATATAACAGTTACTTCCTCCATATTTACATATACTGCGTTAAATTAGCTCCACTATACATACAGATATAGATAGAGAGAGGTATATGTTTTTTTTTAATTCAGTAATGACTAAAAATAAATGTTAAACACAATACGAGTAATTCAACTGTTATGTTTTCAGTTACTCAAACTATTCATCTTAATACTAACCAAAATTTACGTCTCAGGTTAAACGAGGCTTGGCAGATGAGAATCGAACCCGGGCCTCCCGATCATGAACTTAAAAAATTACCACAAGGTCATCGTTACATATCCAGTTGTTTGAAGTTTGAAGAAGAGAATGAAAAAATAGGAGTGTAAGCTTAACAAATTCGTTCGCTCCAATGGTCATACCATACAGAATATTTACTTTAATAATAATAACACTTTAAAATAGGTGGTTAAAGCGTCTGCTCTAGAGTCGCGGAGTAAGGAGTTGTGGTTTATTTCACAAAAATGTACGTCTAAGAAAAAAATGTCCCATTCCTCAACAAGTATATAAGCTGTGATAGACATATCTTGTATTTCTATTTAGCCAGGTTACCGACAAAAAATATTTAAGAATGAAAATTTTGAAGATAGCGACCACAATTCAAGCTCAAAAGTCCATAAAACAATAAAAAATAGGAGCAAAGCAAACACAGACCTCCAAAACATCAGAATTGGAATCAGGTGCCAGGGAGGAGTGAGCATCCCCTGCTGCCGACCGGTCACACCTGTCGTGTGCTCCTTGTCATGATCGGGAAAAAACAAAACAAACATTGTCAATTCAGTGTGTAAACAATGGACTAATAATTTGTATGAAAACGTCAGTCAGCATTTGACTCAATGATTAATTGCATTTGCTGACAAGATAATTGTATCGACCATAGAACGTACAAAATGATGACTTTAAACAAAACTGATAATATTCTTATTTCATCACCTTTTTTGTCAATGACTTACATGTACCTCGTTTAAGAAATTGTACATACGAAGAGCATGCGTTTGCATATCGAATCAATTGAGAGATATAAACTCCGTATACAGGTGGAGAAATTATATTGCTGCATAAATAATGGAAGCTGCTGATTGAAAAAATTAATGTCACGTTTATCATAGAGCTTTGCTGTTAGATGACCATTAACGTCCTTTTAAAGTAAAATATCCAAATGTGAAACATGTTTCAGACTCTGGGGTATCTTTCATCTCAAGCTCACCTGGATATATCGCATCGACATAAGAATGAAAATAACAATTAATTAAGTACAGAGATGTCAAATGAAAACGGTTATTGATCCTTACAACACGGGTTTGAATTTAATGCGGAACCTAGAGACCTGTCCTTGGGGTGAGATAGTGTAGACCGAGGTCCCGTATCGCTTTAGAAGATCATTGACTGCTCACCGTCAATCAGTCCCGAGTATTTGTACACTGTAGGTTTCAAGGATAATTCTCTATAAGGTCATTTTCCAGACGATACAAGAAATAATCTAAAAACGATGATTTAATGTAATTTAAATCTCTCTATTTTATTATTTCGGTGTTTATTTTTCAACAGCGATCACATTTATATAATCATTTGATGTAGAGATAAAATATGGCGGTCAAATAGAGAAAAATGAGGGTAGGTCTAATTAAATCATGTTTAAATGCGTGCTAAATAATCTTATTTGTCGAAAATTATTAATATACTAGTATAATTATGCAATTCAAATTAAAATAAAAGTCTACAAATTTATTTTAAGACTGTTCATAATGCTCAAATTTACTTGTATATTTCCATGCCGACTTTTCCTTTAAAATGAATACTTGTAGTATCAAAACTATGGTCTGGACAGGTATCCAGTGACATTGACAATGTTCAAACGGCCATAGATTGGGTCGTCTGGTCACATGTATTCTTTATCCCAAGCATACTTTTTTAAATATTTTTATCCTTCAAACTGAGAAAAGCCTCAGCAAAAATGTATTTATACTTCTGAAGCCATTGACCAAAAGTGTTCAAATTACAGCCTATATATACTTATATCCATGTATATACAATCAATTGTAGGGTAAATTCAAAAATAGCAACACATAACCCTTTAGATATTGACAGTATATACACACAAATAATTGTTTAACCACACAAGTATCATAAAAATCATTATGTTAGATAAAACTATTTCAAAGGGCCAGAAAACAGAACATTTCTATCACATCATCTTTAAAAATTCATTATTTCAGATTTTTTGAAAGAATTCTTAAAGTATTTTCTCGCAGTTTTAAGTTTGAAAAAAAAAAAACAGGTTTATTAAGGAATCACTGTCTAGTTAGTATAGTATGCCAGGGCATCAACAATAGTGGGAAACATGGGATAATTTGCATAACGGGCGAAGCCCGTTATGCATAAATTATCCCATTTTTTCCCACTATTGTTGATGTCCCTGGCATACTATATAACTAGACAGTGATTCCTTATATTTCCATTTCATTGTAAAGTAAAGTTGTAGATTAAGACTTTAAAAATGCAGACATAAATTTAAATTACACGAGAATTCCCATGCCAATTTCAATAGTTCTCGCCCACTATGTCAAACATAACAGCAGCTGCACGAGATTTTCGTGCATATTTGGCCTCCATAGCGTCAGACTCAGAGACAGATGCGCACGAGATTTACATGCATATTAGGCCTCTTTAGCTCCTGACCTATTGACCTGCCTAATTTACATTCCAGTAGAATTATCAAGAAATTAACTCCGCTAAGTTTCAAAGAGTTATTACAGAGACATTATTAGAAATGGAAATATATTAAAATATCTGCTTACATGTATTACTTTGTAAGAATGATAAGTACCAGCAAACAATTTTAGAAGACACATACATATGCAATTGCGAAACATATGATCCACATATACATTACCTTTCACATGAAGATCATATGTGGATCATATAATTTGCTTTATATGATTCTCATATGATAACATATGTTACACATATGTGGACCATATGTGGCGAAGTTACCTGTGTATCAGAAAAAAGAATGAAAACAATGGACCCATTGGCTTTGTTCCTGCTGTTCTTTCCTATATTTTCCTCTTTGTAAATACATGTACCCATTAAGACCACAACCTACTCCAGAGGGGGGGATGGTTTGATAAATTAAGACTCCATACTTCTCTAGGATGCTTTCATTAAGTTTCAATTTTTATGACCAAGTGGTTATTTAGAGGAAGATTTAATAATTCTTCCTTGGTAAAGATTAAAAACAAAAGCAAAGAATATTCATTAATATTTTAAACCTCTAAGCTAAAAACAGGTTTCTGTAGTAAACATATCTATAGTTTGGAAAAAAATACATTAAACGATTTTACAGTCTGAAGCATTTTATAGAAATTTTATAATTTGAGTGTAGCCTTAAAATGTCTTAACAGTAGTAAAATAATAATATTCAAAGACTTTACAGAATAAAGCATGTATAGTAACATTATAATTATAGTCTAGCCCATAAGTATGGTTACAGTATTTTCAGAAACTTAACATTCAAAGATTTTACAGTAAAGAGGATGTTTGATAACATTAGTAGAGCGTTTGAAAAAAAAAACTTAACATTCAATCAGTTTACAATGTAAGGCATTTATATTAACAAAATAAGATGGTAACATATGTTTCAGTTTGGAATGTTCACTAAATGATGTAAAAAGATTACTAGGATCATTAAAACATACATGTAATTCTTTAATATTGCAATTCTATTTGTAAATTTTGTCAATAAATAATAAACTCTGCCCTATTAAGGAGTCGTAGTCTTTTCCTTCATAGGCTGCTGAGTTAGCTTCCCTTTAGGCTTATGGTACAATCTGGAAATAAAAATTATTCAGTAAAATTATTTTTTCTCTTACTTTATTGTCCCCTACTTTCGCAAGAGAAAGAAGACATTTCATCTCATTCGCGATCGTCTGTCCGTTCGTCAGTCTAGCTGTGCGTCGGTCATAAAATCTTTAACCTTGTTCATATCTTTTGAATGAGAAGAGATGGGGCTTTTATATTATACATGTATATTACCTGTGACAAGACCTTTCTAAATACACTACGAATTTTTAATATATCACCTTGAATTTGAAGTTTGACCCACTTTTTAAACAAAAAATAATTAGCCTTGATCATAACTTTTGAATGAAAAGAGACAAGGCATTCATTGTTCACACGTATATCACCTGTGACAAGTCCTTTCTAAATCCAGTATGATTTTAACTCCGTGACCTTGATCCTTGACGTTAATTTGACTAACTTTTTCAAAAAAGTTATTTTTTCCTTATAACGTTTGATTGAGAAGAGATAGGGCTTTCTTATTTGATATGTGCATTACCTTTGACAAGATATTTCCAAACATTCTATGATTTCTGACCCCTTGATTTTAATGTTTGACCTAATTTTCATAAAATCAACTTTGGTGATAACTTCTGAGTAAAATATGATATATGGCGTTCATAACTGACACAATGCATGTATGCCAAAAATATAACATCTCACCCACAAAGAAGCGGAAAGTGGTGAACCACAATTCCTTGAATTTGCTTGTTTTATTTAAGTTTGATAATTAAAAATAGTATAAATTGGTCAATTTTTGTGATATCATGTTGAAACCAGTAACAACAGAAATTTTGCTTTAAGAGTTTGAGAAAATTATGTACAGCACAAATGATGACTCGCTTTTAAAGCTGTCTTTGGTTGCTAAAAAGATATTGACCTGCTTTAAGTAATTTTCTTATTTGACTACTCTTCCTTACTTGACACTTCTCTTCCTTACTTAATCTCCATATGGGTGAAAAATTCCCGAGAGGGACGTTAAACAATATACAATCCTTACTTGACTTTGTATCTTGTATTATACATCGTATTTAAATATGTTCCTTTACCTCATATATACCATGATTGTATTGCAAAGTTTGACATGTCATACAAATTTAATTCAGATCAGTTTTTATTTGATGTTCATTTAACATGTTTAATAAATTAAAAAAAAAACCTCCTTGATCAAGTTTCATAACGATAAAAATAAGTTTAAAAGTAAAGTCAAGAGATTGTGACAAGGGCAAAACAATTCGAAATGTCAAGAACAGGGGAAAATGACATTATTTAATAGCAAGTGTTGTGAAAAGGGTACCTGTAAAGTGCGAAACGAAATAGAAACGAAACGAACTGAAACGAAACGAAATCTGCCGAAACGAAACGAAATCTACCAAAACGAAACGAAACCTACCGAAACGAAACGAAATCAAGACGAAACGAAAGAAATTAAAACGAAACGAAACGAAACAAAACTTTCAGAATGATTATATTGTCTATTTTTACTTCATATGAAATTTATATAGTTCAAGCACCACGGGTTCGCTTCAAGCTCATACATAGGCATACGCGTCGGAAGGATATTAAAAGGGGGGGGGGTTAACCAACAAAAATTGTTGAAAATGCAAAAAAAGGAAAACATGGAACTAGGATCAGGGGTTCTGTTAATCATGGGTTTTGTTCTTGTAAAAGAGCATGATTGATCATACAATGTAAATGCATTGAATTTCTACATCTTTCCTCTTAGATTCTATGCAGACAAACTAAAGCAATCTTATGAAGAGCAAAAGTGCCTCTTTCATAATCCTGAAATTCATGGTCCCAAGTTCATGGGTTTTTGGTACCTATCAGGACAGGCTCTATTTATTATATAGTGGTAATTCTTTAAGAATATTCTTCTTTGCATCTGAATATTAAGCAGACAAACTAAGTGCATGGTTATGATTATAAATGCCTTTTTATTCGTAACCACTGGGACGGGAGACCTTTGAAGAAGGCTGCATTAATGTACACAAACTGAGCTCTACTTTTAGAGAAATCATTACTTTCTAGAGTTTTTTTCCCGCCAATTCAGGTGAGCATTAAGGCCTTGGACCTCTTGTTAAGCAGTAGGGCTACATATATATTACAAACCACTTTTATTCGCCACACCTTTCACTGTAAAGTCCATCAACGACAACTTATTTTCGCAATTATAACAACATTTTACATAAATAGGTGACTAATTCGCGATTAAAAGAGGGTAGCAAAACTCGCAGATATTTATCGTGCACGAATAAAATTTGGTTTACGGTATCAGTAAACTGCACTTTCATTTCGTTTATTCATTTTTGTAAAAGCATCAATGTAATGTTTTAATTATTTCTATTAAAAGAAATGTGTTATTTATAGGGAATTCAGACCGCATACATTGTCATGACGATAAAAATATCAAATAACGTTCCGAAATAAAAAAAAAGATTAAAACATGTCTAAAATATCATGCTACATAGATAATGTTTTTTTAAAAAATTAGGTTCTTTCTATCTCTACTGACAAGACAAAAAAACGATGAATGAGAAACAAATAACTTCATTTATATGTAGTCTGAGGTCATTGACCGAAAAAAAAAGGTTTTTCAAAGACAAAAAAATAAAATTATATAAATCGACCTGGTACACTAGGTCTTCGCTTTATTAATTTTATAGAGGAGTCTCTTGGCAAATTGGCACATTTAAAGGATTCAGCTAGTCCGAAATATCTGACGTTTTCAGTCGTGTTTTATCACGATTTTAATTCATGTAGAATGGTCACTGGCATATGTTTTTGAATGGACATTGAGAATTCACAAAAATAGCTACATTCGTCAATGTGATTGAAGTTTGGGGGAGAAAAAAAAAGAAGTAAAAACATAATTATATGGTTTGTCAAATTCCTAGGTCCACGCCTGTGACCCTTTTCACCAAAAAAAAAAACAAAAAACAAAAACAAAACCAAAAACAAAAACCAAAAAAAAAAAACAAAAAAAAACTTTTATTGATCAGATAAGAAATTTATATCTGTAATTTTTAAAAAAATAAATATATATGATTTTTTTCTTACTAGTAGTCATATTTACTTAGTAACTTAGTGGAATTGAAGTATAATATCTTTTTATGTCCTACTACAGCTGTTGAGGAATATAGGACAATTTTTGTCTCATTCGTAAGAATTTTTTATGATTTTCAAATTAAAAAAATATATTCAAAACAACAAATTTTACAACTTTTGACCTGATGACTCGAGACAAGCGATAATACTTACTCTATCATATTATTCCATCTTTTTTTATTTTTAATGCACAAACTAAATTACTAAAAGTTATTTAATATATAAAATAAATCAGTTGACCCCCCCCCCCCCACTCCCCAACTGAAAATGTGGATTCGTGTTAAAAAATGTCATACATCATGAAGGTAAATGAAATATATTTTCAGATTTTTTCAAATCTTGTCAAGAAATTTCTGGGTTCTTTTTTTTTTTTGCAAGTATCTTGGTAAAAAATGTTTCCGGCCATTTTTTTTTTTAAATAACAATATAAAAAATTTAAATAAAATTTTTTCAAACTGTGTGGCTAGTTGCAGTAACAGCTGACAGCAGTGTTGAGGAATATAGGATAAACAATTTACATAAATGTTTTTGTTTAATAAATATATATGAATTTTTTTCTTATAGTCATATTTGGAATTGAAGTATAATATCTTTTTATGTCCTACTACAGCTGTTGAGGAATATAGGACAATTTTTGTCTCATTCGTAAGAATTTTTTATGATTTTCAAATTAAAAAAATTTTCTCGATCTTCCTCTGCAAGCTTCAATTCAAAATTGTTTACAAATTTTACAACTTGAAGTTTCGTGACCTGATGAGCTCGAGACAAGCGATAATTACTTACTCTATCATGTATATGGTAGATTCCATCTTTAGTTTATTTTTACGGCACGTATTACGTACATTCCTTGCTTGCGTGTCAGTTCAGTTGAGTTTCTCGGATGTTTTCTTAACTTAAGGTCAAGATCTAGTAAATGAAAGGTGCCTTCAGATTTTTCAAATTTGAGAAACGGGTTCTTTAATGACCCTTTGCAAATATAGCTTGGTAAAATAAGGTGTTTAGGGCCATATTTTTTTTTTAACAAGACAAAAAACATATCCCATTTTAAAGATGTAGCAATACTGCCTTATTGCCTCACAAAAGATATCATGAACATTATATGATGTTTTTTCTGAATACAATGAAAATCATTTTCTACATAATTCTATTATACTCTAGAAAAATTTAAAAGTATAAATCAATATAAATTAATTAAGGTCTGTGAAGATGTAGAGTATATAAATATATTATAAATCTTCCGAACGAAACACTGAGGCGTATGTCATGCAAGTTGTTTATTACAATCAGTATTCCAATATATCTTAATACTTTATATCTTCTTATCTTTTAATCAAATAAAGAACGAACAAAAACAATTTAAAAACTTGAAAATCACACATTACACTTTTTTTTTGTTTTTTATATTAACGATCAGCTGATCTCTGTTTACTAAAACTGTTTGCGTCATCAAGAACATCCGATCTTCTTAGAAATATCTAGACCAAGGCAACAATATACAACATATTTAAAGATTTTCAAATGCGCCTCCTTAAAGATACATAGACATTAGATATTTTATTCTTCAGCGTAAACTTAAAGTAATTAACTAGTTAGACATAGTTTTGTGTAATTTTTAGATTAATGAAAATTGTTTTGCTCGTGGGAGAAACTGCACGTTTCCTAACTTAATGTAACATCCAATATCCGCAGCCTGCCATATGTTAAGCGAACATTTCACTTAGTTTGTTCTTTCTCTCTTTTTTCTCCTACAAGTACGAATGTACTTGGTTTGCAGATTTGCACTTGCATTCAGACGCTGAAGAAGTTAAGATGTGGGGAGGTGTTTTCTGTCTGTTGGCGGGCATTTCTGTGACTTTGGCCGAAATAAGACAATTTCAGATGACCGATTGTGGTAAGGAGATGTTTATATATTTTTTATACTAAATATACATGTATTTTTTTAATTAAAAAGTAACTTATCTTGTGTTAAAATAATCATACATGTACAAGCTGAACCCTTTACAATATAAACTCCTTTTTCACTGTAATCTGCAATAATTTAGAAACAAAATATTTGAAATATCATAGTTTATCCAGAAAACACGTGTCTTTTTTTTGGGGGGGGGGCTCCTTTTTTCAGAAAGGGGCTTTAATTAATTCTCCATTTTTAAAAAAAATAATTTCCGTTCTGATGTTGTTTAATTATTTCATAATGATATTCGTTTATTTATATTAAATGTAAAATTCTAGCTGATCCATATAATTGTCATATTTACTGCATTCTTTATCATTTTCTGGGGTTAATGAAGGTTTTTAAAAGACTTTCATTCATAGGAAGTGGCATTTTTAGTTCTATAATGTCGAAAGAATTGAAATAGGCCATTGAACAGAAGTATATAATTCCTCCTTTGAATTTAAAATGCTTTAAAATTAAATGTTACGTTATGTTGATCGATGTTCAAGAAGTGCCAAATCTTTATCTTCTTTAACGTTTTTTTTTTTTTAGAGAGAGAGACATAATATTTGATAAAGTAATTTTTGGGATGTGGCTGTGGCCTTAATAAGGACCCCAAACTGGTCGCACCCCACCCCTTTTCAAGATTCCTGGATCCGCTGATTCTAACATATTCATTTAACCCTACTATTGCAGTATGTTGTCGTTATAGGTTCCAGTAGAGATGTCCAGTTTCACAGTGTGTCAGTGACCCCTATGCCTGTCCGGATCCCGGGGGATATCCGCCTCTCCGTGGACGCCAGTCTAACTAAGGCGATAGGAAGCTCCAGAATGTCCCTCTCTATCAAAAGGAAATCCTACTTTGGGGTAGAAGTTCCTATGCCCTGCCTTTTCAATATCGGATCTTGGTAAATGGTGAGAGAGAGGGGGGTATAGGAAAGAGGCAGATAGAAATAGAGAGAGAAAGAAAGAAAGAAAGAGGGACGGTGAGAGTGAAGTAGAGGGAGATCAAGAGATAGACAAACACAAAGACAGATAAAGAGAGAGAGAGAGAGTTTGAGAGAGAAAAAGACAGAAAAAGGCAGACAGAGAGAGAGAGAGAGAGAGAGAGAGAGAGAGAGAGAGAGAGAGAGACGGTCAGATTATAATCTCAGTTTATCTCGGAGTTTGTGTTTAATTTAGTTTGAAATTTTATTTTTAGTACATACGATGACCTCTGTACGATGGTGCAGAAAATGATCACGGAGAACTGGGTGGGGATAGTGGGGGGTATCGGTACACAGATCCAGACCATGCTGACCAGTGTGGGGGTCAATGCCAGTCAGTGCCCCCAGCCCCCCAGGAATATCCGTATCACAGACTACCCCATCAGTATTCCCAGAATTCCTGCTATCCTCACCTGGTTTGCAGCGGTACGTATGAAAAGCTAGCTTATTTTTTTTAATTCACAAATTTAACTTTCTGATGAATATCTCACATTTCACATGGTTAATATATATATATATATATATATATATATATATATATATATATATATATATATATATATATATATATATATATATATATATATATATATATATATATATATATATATATATGTAACTTACGTTGGAATAGTCAGAAAAAATATATTTATCAAAATCAATTCAAGTTTATTTCAATACTTGATTTTGCTTTTCAAGAGTTATTCATTTTCCACAATTAAGTAAGCACATTAGGTTTTAAAATAAATAAAATTATAATAACGTTTAGATTAAATGATAGTACTCTTCCTTGTCGTGGTTTTATAATAATTTTAGTACAATTCTCAGTCAACCTTGGACTTTCAGTAAGGCGTTGCATTCTTGCCATTCTCGGCGCTACGTAATTAGCATCTCTCAAATGGCGAGATAGATTCTCATTGGTTAAGAAATTGATAACATGAACTTTAAATCGTTGTTGACAACGATTAGACGATTTAGGGCCCACCCTTTTACCGTACGAAACGCTGTCATTGGATCATTGCTACACTCATTGACATTCGCCCGAATTTCTATCCCAGTGAATGAGAGGCTGTGTACATTTCAGACGCTAATTACGTAAAGTCGAAAATGTCACGCCTTTACTGAAAGTCCAAGGATAATAGAGAATTGTACTATTGTCCATTATTCCCAGTCGTTAAAAATCTACCTGATCTGATGTAGACTTGTGTATATATCAGTGGTGTAGACTTGTATATATTTCAGGGTGACTACCGTGTGATTGTTAAGGTGAATGAGAACGGCACGGGGAGACAACTGGTGTGCCTGAACCTCCAGCTCTCCGTCACCCAACACAGAGAACCCAGCACTTCCGGCTGGTTGTTTGGTGGCCGATAACAACGACCTTAATATATTGATATTGTTTCACATTACATGAATAAAAACTTATAATGATTAACAATATTTTTAATTTGTAACTTAAATTGTATAAAATCAAGGTACCTAATTTAAAAATAAGGGCAAGTAGCATCGGCGGGAAGGGGGATTTAATGTATATTTATGACCTTGACCTTTGACCTGGAAATCTGTATTGGTCTTCTGTAGGCCATAGGGAGTTGTGATATTAATTTTTATTTAAAAAAAGAGGCTCATAGAAAACAAAAGTTATCATTTGGAAAATGTTATTTACAATTTATGAATTTCTGAACTCCATCTGTTGACATTATCCAAAATCCAAAAATCTTCTTTGGGCCACATGGCGTTTGAAATCGATCTTAAAATCTACAGGGGTCTCCACGAGACCATAAGAAGTTGTGATATAAAATTTCCTTATGAAAACGTATAAGCTTTTTAAGATATTGTCAAAAAAAAGTGTTACACAATAAACGCATTTTAAACAGACAGTTTATTGAGGAAGAGAGTATTTACGAAAAATGGATCTTGAAAGTGCCCCCATTTGACTACAATAAAGAGTAATAGCCCCCAAGAAAAGAGATTTTTAATAGCTTTTAGTGAAAGCTATGGACAAAAATACACTTTTATGAAATTTCAGTATGTGAATGAAAAATGAAACCTATTATTCGTCATGGATTTGGTATAGTTCTGTTTTAACATTTTGCAAACCTAGTATATATGCATTACAGTAACAGACACTTGTTTCTGTAATAATTTTTTTTTTACCCATAGGCCTAATATAAGAGTGTTATAATTATACTATGGGTAAAAAATTATTACAGAAACCAGGGACTTATTTATACTAACTTACTCGTTAGTATATATACATGTAGGTCCCTGCAGAAACAAGTGCCTATGATAACAGTGTGACAATCAATATAATCATGATAATGTTTCAACTTTGCAAAGCTTCATTGCACTGTAATTTATCTACACTAACATTTCTACATAAAACATCTATTACCATCAAAAGACAAAAATAACGTACTTTCTTTGCGCAGCCGTTTTCCCCCTTACCTGGCGCATTTCTATGTTTATGTTGAAATGCGTCAACGCACACGCTTGCTGTCCTTGCTGTTTGTTTATAAACGATGAACCATGTGTATTTTCATAGTTTTTGGCAACACTCCACCCTAGCAAAAGCAGTTTACATTGTTTATGAGTATTTTACAAAGGCACAAATAAGTGAACGTAACTTTTAGTAAGGTTTAGCTGTATCGCAATAACAGGCTAATGCATCTCCGTGTAGCTGGGCTGCGGTGACTGGATTCAGGTATGCACTGATGATCAGAACAGCTAAATTTTACTGTGATATTTGTTTAGATGTCTGCAGTGTAAGCAATGTCTAGTGAGTTTTGCGAGTGTTTCCTCTTCACCGCTTTCCCCCCGGGGGGTGGGGCACTAAACGTATACAGGTGGGGACCACTCGCCCAAATGGGATATAATATTAGTCCGTTGTGATATATCCTAAATGCCTTATGGGATATATATTTACAGTTTTTATTTTGGCTATAAATATCATAAATCCGCATCAGGGCACATATAAAAGGAATAACTTTTGGTTGACAAGTAAAGTTTTTCTGTATGACCATTGTTTATAGGAGAATTGATCCCTTGGAAGTTCCAAAACTTCTTGGGGGGTCAATCTTACAAACTGTAGGGTTGCAGATAAATTTGCTTACCAGAAGTTATTCCTTTATATGTGTCCTGATGCAGATTTATGATATTTAATATAGCCAAAATAAAAATTTTCATTTTTTGCACTATAGCTATTATATCCCATTTGGGCAAGTTCATGTAGACAGCATGTAGACATAATTGCGGGTGATAAGTCACCATAAACAATCTGACAAGTAGACATAAATGTTTGATAAGTCACCACAAACATCCTTACAAGTAGACATTATAATAATACCTGTATACATAATACCAGTATGTAAATTCTGGTATGTTGCCCTCAAAGTCATGTGATATATTATATCACATGACTTTGAGTTTGGCAACATACTGTCAATAAATGAATATTATACTTTCATGTAAATTACTCGAGTCTGATTGGTCGAGAAACATTTGTTAAAAAACACTATTACCCGCTGAATAATGAAGCCACACCCTCCAGCGTAGCAACAGTCAACATTGCTTGACGACGGGTGGTATTCCAAAAAATAGCGACTGCGCAGAATTTATGCACACACGGTTCACTGTTATATGCATTAAAATGTTTAAAACATTCAGTATAATATAATAAATATAGCATGTACTTTGCGTACACCTAGGAATTCAAACCATCGCTGTCATGAGATTACATTGATGTATCGATACGAACACGTATACATTCATAACGTATAGTCTTGGCTCTAATAACTATAAAATATTAATGTTGGTTTTTAATCTGTTTCAAATTTCATTCATAAAAATTGGCGAAAATAAACACTGATATAATTGATTGACAAGTTGGCTCGATTACAATTAGTAATGTTAGAATTAGACGCAAAGATTAAAAACCGTTAAAATTCCCGTTTTATTTAATATTTTACACTGTATCAAATTACAATACAAGCTTAAATTTCATTGCAGGATTCTTTTTTACAGTTACTAAAATACACAAATTCTTCGCATCCTCTGCACTATAAGAATATAAGATCATCTTTGATTAAGTATAGAAGGTGGTATGAAATGAATTTTTTTAGATGAACATTTTCGTAGATGTTTAAGATACTGATAATGAATATTAAAATGAATGACGCTAAGACATGCAGCGCTTAAGAATAAATTTAGGACCATATCCAAATGGATCGGAAGAATTAGATTGGTTTTAAAAGATTTCGATTTCATTTCAAGTTTGAAATCTATACTGTCGACGATAACGAAGAAATTTAACTTCAACTTTATTTAGCACTATATCATCAATAAAGTTAAAATATTGTCCAATAATGTCAGTAGCTAGGGATAATCTCTCAGTCGAGTGTGTTTTTTATCTAATGACTTGCTAAAGGTCCTGAGATTATTCTTTTCTTAATTGTTTTAAAATCTGAAGATTTTTTTAATGATGTAGAGGACATTTTTTCTGATGACAATATAGTGAATTTATGCACCCACGAAGGATTTTGGAGATAATAATGCATTTATTTAGTTTTCAAGTAAAATGATAATTAAAAAGAACAGGCATTGCTTTTGACGATGTTTAAAAAAGGATTTCAATAACCTAGTTTAAATTAAACACTTCAAAATTCGATATATATATAAGGCCCAGTTTGCAAATGAAACTTACTGCTAAATTGATTTGGAGTTACAGGTTTCATATTTTAGTTTATGTGGTAGGCGTTGGTACTGTTCAATGACCCTAGACATGTGTGCCATATATTCACCAGCATGTGGTGCCGTCTCCATGATTGAAACAGACAAAATAACAAACATGGTGTTGTGTATGGTGTCTGAAAATTAATTTCATTGTATATTATGCAACTATTGTGGCTTCCCCTATCATAGTTCGTGTGTGAATATTCATGTTTGAAGCATTTAGTTGTTATATAAGGTTTCGAACGGACGGGGTACGAATTATTACACCGTCAGTCTAAGTAGCCTAACTTTCAGTAGCATTATCCTCACCCAGTAAGTAAAAACTCGTAAAACTGAACAGACACATGATCATTATGATCTGTTTTTTTTTTCATTTATCTCAATGTGCTCAATGTGAGATGAATTATATACTGGCTTTTATTTATATATTTTTATATACTTTAATTTTTATTTATTTATATCGTCTATAAACATGTTTTTCAGACTGTTAACACGGGTCCAGCACAAGGTATATATATAGCTTCATAAACTTAAATAGCTTTATCAAGGTATTACAAATACCTCGATCAATGTATTTTATGTAATAAAAATCTTTAAAAAATAAATCTAAAATTTAAAAGTCGAATTATGAGTTGTGGTCAGTGTGTTATAGGTAAACCGAAAGTAGAAAGTTATAATCATCATTAAAAAATTAGGTTTATGTTTTTAAATTATTAATTTAATCTTTTAATCATGTTCATTATAAAATAAGAATAATCTGAATACAGAAATATAATATTACACAATCAGAATGAAATTATAATCAACATCATGAGAGCTGAATGAACATGATTATAAATCTCAAAATGTAATTCTTGATTTATAAAATAAAAAAAACACCAATCCTGGTACGGAATCAAGTCATAAATTTAAAATATCCGTGTCTTAAGTATGGAACGCCATGGCTGACGTCACAGGATTATGAATTTCTCCTTTTGATTCCATGACCGAATTGTTTTAAATCATTCATGCATGCAGAGTGATTGTTTGCTTCATGGTGATTGATGATGTAATCGCTTAATGTTAAGTATCTGCGTCAGAAAGGGTACGTTTACACTTGTTACTCTCAAGGAAGGTCTATAATGATATAACATCTCATAATAGGCTGCCACCGAAAACTGAAATCAACTGTAATGATTATATTTCCAAAAAAAAAATCATTGTGCATTTATAACTTGAACGCACATTTTACGGGTAGTTCAGACTTCATATTAACATGTGAATTTTAATTTTTCGGCCACACAGCGAGAACCTGCTGGTCAGCTATGATGCAACTTCACTTTACACAAATTTGCAATAGGAGCAGCTAATGGCTGCTAATTATACGGCTTGCAGAAAAAATTGACAAAAGTATTTTCTCAGCCCGACTACAGCAGCCATATGTTATTTAGTTAGATTTATCCAAAAAAAAGTATTATACATATATCCGAATTCAATGAATGTACTAGTATTTTTGAACAAATCATTGAATATACGATGGGTTCTAAGTATTGGTCCCTTTCCGTTTGCGATATTTTGCTTACATAAAATTACCAATGAATTTTGAAACAACTTTATTAATTATGCGATTAGGTTTAAGGAATTATTGAAATAAAAAATATGAAAAAGAAATA